GGCAAAAATCCCTTTGCCAACTGACTGGGAAAACCACTGACTTTTGCAACTTTTTGGGCTTAAGTCCAAGTTTCCCTTCCCAGTCTCACCATATTCCCTAGCCCTGGGGAAAACTCCTTCACGCAGCTGCTAATTAAAATTCTCTAGGAGTTGTTCCTTATCTTACCTCCGTGTGTGGTTCCGAGAAGCTGGGCTCCCCAAGATCGAAGCAAGAATTCTCCAAAATATGCCAGTTGGGGAAGAAATCCCTGCAAAATGGAATATCGATCCAGAGGAGTCACAGGTCCCCATGTCCCTGTACGAAGCCACCAAAACTGTTGCCTAAATGGCTGTGGGGAAAAAAAAGACTCCAAGCCAAATTAGGTAGGAGATAAGATAAGGATACAAAGGCTTTAATGAACCCCCAGGCTTTCCGGAATACCCCAACGTGCACTCTCAAATACAGGTGTTTTCAGTTTTTATAATGATTTTCACCCAATTCCTGTCTGACCACCACCCAGATTCCACCCTCACCATGCCTCTTGGGAATTGGGTCTGGGGGCATTTTGGGACCCCCTCTTCTTCATCTTCCTCAGAGTACGTAATGTTCTTGGAGGCCTTCCAGAGTTCTAGGCCTGAAGGTTGTTGCATCTATAGCTATATCTTCTTGTGTAGATTTTAGGGTGTTCTCTATAATTCTACCTTGAAAATGAGACTAAACAGGCCAGTGGAATTTAGGGGATTGATATGGGAATGGGTAACAGGGTTTGCTATGTGTGGTTGGTGTGTTAAAGCATAAAGAGATAATATGCTGCTACTCTAAAATCTACATTTACTACATAACTACTTCTAAGATCTACAAAAATTAAAAAATCAAAAATTAAAAAATCAAAACTCATATGCATTTTTTAGATTATGTGTTGTCAGACTCATTAAAATATGTTTTGTGCTGAAAAAGGTGTTAGCAGCTATTTGATTTGTTCTGCTTTACACTTCTGACTCTCACTCCCTGCTCAAGTCATTACCGATAACTTGTAAACAAGACAAATTTCAAGCTGCTGTATCACTGTTTAAGCAGAGTGTTCTACTACAAGAAACAAATAGTAGGAGGCATGCTATAAGGAGGAAAATAAACAAGGACCTAGAAAAAGGAGAGAAGGGTTTAGTAGATACCCAAACTCTTAGTTCAAAACACAAGATTTTAAGAACTTAGACTGAAAGACACCAACCCCAAAGCTGAGTCAATGGAGTGAGGGGGAGAGGCTAGGATATGAATCCATTCTTACATCTTATGGACCCACTGACACAAGTGTCACGGGAGAGTGGAAGGTTTAGACAAAATTTATTAAAAAGCTCTACTGTTGAGTCACGAGGTGCAGAAAGGACTACCTTGCTTTCTAAACTCCTCAGAAAGGTCTAGGTGCATCTGCATCCAGTCTTAGCCTTGGATTATGTCAATAGTTTAAATTTAAGGAATTATAGAGGTGTGGTTGAACCACTTTTGTCCCACAGATTTTAATGATTGGCAAAATGAATATTTAATTATTACAAATGATCAGACAAAAGATCTTAATCAGAACTCTTTACTGCACAATTGTAGTGGGTTGACCATGGCCGGATGCCAGGTACCCACTAAAGCCACTCTCTCACTCTCCCTCTGCAGACCTCTGTCCTTGAGACACAGACTGCTCCAGCATGGGTCCCCCACAGGGCCACAAGTCCTACCAGGAAAACCTGCTCCATGGTAGGCTTCTCTCCAAACAGGTCAGCAGGTCCCTGCCAGGACCCAGTTCCATCATGGGCCTCCCACACATGCCTCCTTTGGGCATCTACCTGCTCTAGCATGGGTCTTCTCCATGGGCTGTAGGTGAATGTCTGCACTCCCATGGTCCTCCATGGACTGCAAGGGGACAGCCAACTTCACCGTAGTCTTCAACACGGACTACGGGGGAACCTCATCTCCGTTGCCTGGAGCACCTTCTCCCCCTCCTTCTCCACTGACTTTGGTCTGCATAGTTGTTCACAAGTTCTCACTCCGCTCTTCTCTAGCTACAATTTTCATCTGCACAACAACTTTTCTTCTTCTTCTTAAATATGTTATCACAGAGGTATTACTATCATTCCTGATTGGTTTGGCCTTGGCCAGTGGCAAGTCTGTCCTGAAGTCAGCTGGCATTGGCTTTATAGGACATGGGGGAAGCTTCCAGCAGCTTCTCACAGAAACCACCCCTGTAGCCCCCCTACTACCAAAATCTGGTGGCAGAAAGCCAATACAGCTCTCTAATAGCTTAATGTCTTTTTTATATTGTAGTGCACAAAATGCACACAATATTCAAGGTGAGGCTGCACCAGTGCAGAGTAGAGAGGGACAATCACCTCCCTTGACCGGTTGGCGATGCCTTGTCTGATGCACCCCAGGACACAGTTGGGCCTTCTGGCTTCCAGGGCACTGCTGACTCATATTCAACTTGCCACTGACCAGGACCCCAAGGTCCTTTTCCACAGCACTGCTCTCTATCCTCTCATTCCCCAGCCTATACTGAAACAAAAGAATTAAACCCAATAACCAAAAATCATCGGATTAGACAATTCTTTAATATGCCAGCTGGGAATTCATGGGGATAGAATCGCCGTACATTAATTAAAGAATCAGCACAAATTTTGGAATATAAATACAGTGATATCTGAAAGATGCCCTCTTCACACCCAACTCCTGATTATGTCATGATTTTGAGGTCAAATATCATGCGTGGAGCGAGATTGCCATCTCATGTCCATTTCTTTGGGGGAGGGCAGTCATCTCCCCAGAGTCTTTTTTTTCCCGCTTGGCAGGCCTCCTAGCATCTATGTTTGATCCAGTTGACCTCTAACCCTTAAACTAATTGTTCTAGGACCAACTAAGACACATATATTCATCATTGGTTAAAGGTAACTAGAATTTCCTATTAGCTTAAACAATCTTCAATTGCATTTACTTCTTAACAGAACAATCTCCTATTGATCAACTTTTCTGAGGCATGTAAGCTAATTTCTTGCAGGTGGGCATATGGTACACTCTCTATTAGTTCCCGTGTTTCATCTACATTCTACATCCTGAAACTAATTGTAGTTCAAAAAGAAAAGAAAACTACCATGCCAAGAAAGCAAATCTCTTAGTTGACTAGGACACAATTTTTATCCAAGCTAAAACTTCTGATTTCCTAAGTCATTTAGAAAGGATACCCTCTCTCATTTCAATACACACAAGGAGGATTGCCCTGTCCGAGGTGCAGAATCCAGCACTTACTCTTGTTAAACTTCATATGATGATTGCCCATCTCTCTAATTTGTCAAGGTCTCTCTGCACGGCTTCTCTGCCCTTGAGGGAATCAACAGTTCCTCCCAATTTAGTGTTGTCTGCAAACTTAGTATTCCTTTGAGTCCTGCGTCCAAGTCATTTATGAAGATCTTGAAGAGCACTGGGCCTAGGATGAAACCCTGTGGAACCCCACTGGTGACCCGTTGCCAACCTGATGTTACCCCATTCACTATTACCCTCTGTGCTTGACCTGTGAGCCAGTTGCTCACCCATTGCATAACATGGTTATACAGCTGTGTGCTGGACATTTTGTCCAGAAGGATCCTGTGAGAGACAGTATGGAAAGCTTTACTGAAATCCAAAAAGATAACATCAACTGTCTTCCCTTGATCAATCAGGTGGGTTACCCTGTTGTAGAAGGAAATCAGGTTTGACAAGCAGAACTTTCATGAAGCTGTACTGGCTGTGACTGACGACTGTGTTGTCCTCCAGGTGTTTTTAAATACCTATCAGAATAATCTTCTCCATAACTTTACGAGGCACTGAAGTGAGACTGACAGGTCTGTAGTTTCCGGGGTCCTCCTTCTTGCCCTTCTTGACATTTCTGACAACTTTTGCCAGCTTCCAGTCATCTGGGACCTCTCCAGATTTCCAAGACTGCTCAACTGTCCCAGTTTAAATGAGACACGGGTCTTTTGCTGAGGATGAGTTATGAGAAAAGACCCAAACTCCTTCCTCTAAGCAATTATAAATCCGAAATTAAGAGGTTCCGATTGAGGGAAAACTAATTATGGAAAAGGAAAAAATAGCCCTTTTTTAATAGGTATGTGTGTATTAGCAGAAACAACAAAAAGAAACAAGTAAAAAACCAAATACTCCTATACCCACAAATAATCCCCTTCAGAAAAAAAACCCCAATAAACAGGCAAAGGGAAAAGTAAACAGTTCAATTTGCGCCCTTTGGTGCAATTCCAACCACAATCAACATGGGGAGTCGTTGGGTCATGGGAGATGCAGAGTTTGTAATGTCCTATGCCAGTGGCACTGTAGGATCCCTGGTTGCTGCCATGGTGGGGGGGAAAAAGAACACCCTCCGAGGTGTGTCGGAGAAAACAAAAAAAAAAAAAACTGGGCCCCTCTTCCCTTCCCACACACCAGGAAAGGGGAGAAGGAGAGGGACCAGACAACTCTCTTTTACTCCGGCTGGTCAATCTACTCTGCACAGTCCTCTCTCTCCCCCTGATGTGCACAAGGACCAGTGCCAGGGGAAAAAAAAAATGGGAACAGGGAAAAAAAGAGAAAAAAAACCCAGAAAACCAACAGTTCCTCTCCGACAGTTTCCCAGTTTAAATGAGACAAGGGTCTTTTGCTGAAGATGGATTAGGAGAAAAAGACCCAAACTTCTCTTTCTAAGCAATTATAAATCCAAAATTAAGAGGTTCCGATTGAAGGAAAACAAATTATGGAAAAGGGAAAATAACAACCCTTTATTAAAAGGTATGTGTGTATTAACAGAAACACGAAAAAAACCAAGTAAAACAACCAAGCAATACTCCTATACCCACCAATAATCCCCTTCAAGAACAAACCAATAAACCAGCAAAAGGAAAATTAAATAGTTCAATTGTTTACACCCTTTGGTGCAGTTCCAACCACAGTCAGCAGGGGGCGCCGTCGGGTCACTGGAGATGCAAAACTTGTAATGTCCTGTACCATTCACCAGGTGGCGCTGTTGGATCACTGGAGGAGCAGAACTTGTAATGTCCAGTGCCTGTCACCAGGCGGCGCTGTGAGATCCTTGGTGACCACCAGGTGGGTTGGGGGAAGGGGAAAAAGCAACACCCCCCAGGGTATATCGGAGATAAAACCAAAAAAACCTTGATTCCCCTTCCCTTCCCACACTGGAAAAAAAGGGAGGGGGGGGGAAGGGGAAAGAAAAAAAACAGCAATAAAACAGAAAGTTCTCCCAATGGAAGAAAACTCACGAACTTAGCTGGTTAGGATTAGCTTTAAGCAGGGCCTGCAGCCAGCAATAGTTGAGAACAGAGCAGCAGCAATCTCCCCTTCGACAGGAAGAAAGAAAAAACTAGGTAGCATCTGCAGCTTGCAGTAGGTCCTTAGCCCACCGGCACACCAGCCTCTCCTCCCCACCTCCTTCCAGCCACACACTAGCCCCCCCAACTCCTCCCCCTTCGTTGTCAAGGAGACTAATCTCTCGGCCATTAGTGGACCAGGCTAATTCTTTTGTTTAACTGATAGCTACCTGATGGCCTAATACACAGAGCACACACGGCAGGGGGAAGGGAAAGAAAAATTCCTTGCTAAAATCGGAACTATGACAGACGGGAAAAAAAACAACAAGCAGCGTCCGCAACTGGCAAGCAGGTCCTGAGCAACAGGAACCACCAGCCTCCAGTCCCACCTGTGTTCCAACCACACCCAGAACACCAACTCCTCCCCCCATTGCCCAGGACACGAGAGAAAAAAGTAAACAGTAGCCCCCTCATCTCCCCTGTTTCCTAGGAGACTAATTTCTCAACTATTAACCAGCCTGGCTAGTTCTTTTGTATCTCTCAAGTGCTCACTTGATAGCTACTTGATAGCTCTACACACAGGGGCAGGGGGAAGGGAAAAATATTCTGACTGGTTTCCAAGAACTAGATAAACCATGACATCAACAATCATCTTTTTATCAGTGCTAGAGCTGCCTGAATTGGTACTTTGTCTATCTGAATACTCAGATGTGCTGTACCACAGAGTGCCTAGATTAGCTTGTCTGCAAGTAGGCATAATAGGGTGAACTTCATGTTTGAAGAGCTTTGGTTTTCAGGGGAATTTCAGTGACAGTGAAAAGTGCTGTGCTGACAGATACTGACATTAAATCTTTCCAGTTTGCCAAAAACAACTAGGTCCATGTTGGGAAGTACTGACTTCTTCAACTCCTCTCCAAGAGGGACTGGAAATTGAATTCTCCTACTCATTCAGTCCTCATTTCTTCTGAGTTGGACTTTCACATAGCTGGTCATGAGCTTTTTAGTTTTAATCATGAGGTTGACCAGTCCACTTGGAACTCAGCTGAAACTGTAAATGCATTTCATACGACACCCCAAAGAGTCATCACAGGAAAATTGTTTTGGACTACAGCCAGAGCAGACGGAATTTCAACTGGTGACTCACCCTCCATATTATATTCCCAGTATCATCCATCATATAAGTCAGATGTTTAAATTTGGTGTTTCCAGAGGTACTGTTAGCATACTAAACATGCTTCCAAAGTTCTATGTTTTGCCCCTAAGTTTCAGACATTCAAGACACTGACATGTTGTCTGTTCCCTCTGAATGTGGGTGGGAATGGACTCACCTAACAGACAGAGAAGAGACTGCAGAACTTTTAACTAAACCATTCTGTTTTGTTTCATTTTCTTTCTTAACAGGATTCAACAGCTGCATCTCTTTTGGACAGAGATTGTGGTACAAGAGAGGGAGAGACTGTAGCCATGAACTATAAGCCATCCCCACTTCAAGTAAAATTAGGTGAGTCTTTGTTGATGGAGAGTGAAAAAGCTGAATCCAAGGTCTGAAATATGGTGAGATGCTTGTGGGATCATATGCAGATCTTCATGTATGTGGCTGAGCATGCCAGCTCACCTCAGGCAACTCCAGAGCAGTTTATCAGTGTGATTGTTTTGCTCAGGGAACTGACCTACAAACGTGCAAGGACACTTTATCTTGGGTTGCTGTAGAGGAAAGAAACTATGCCTTGAAAGGAAGACATAGCTCTTTAAACCTATAGATTTTTATCAAGCTAAGATCAAGCATTGGATAGGAAAAGAATGAAGATAATATAGAGGGACTATAAAAAAAGAGAAGACAGGATAACTGCAAACAAAAGGGAAAGGATCAGAGACTTGCACTACCAGGAAAAGATAGTGTTACTGTAAGCTGGAGGGTTTGTAAAGGTTCACATAGAAATATTCATGCTATTTCTGAGTGATATTTTTGAAGTTCTGGAAGCAGAATCATCATATTAACACAATACTCTGCTTCCTCACAGTGTAATGCTTACAAGAGGACAGCAATCCACATGACTACTCTGCCTCCAAAATCTGAGCCACTATTGTGCCACACAGACTCAAGGACCCAACAAGGGATGGATCAAAGGAATAGTGTACATTTTGCTCAGAGCATGGATAGAAAAATAAGAATCTAAGTCTGGAAAAATCCATATAGGAGCAGGAAGCAGTCCCGTAGTTGTGCTTCTCATCAGAACAAATGACGTTGGCAGGATGCTGCTGGAGCTGATTGAGGTTAACCTGTTGGAGCAGATCCAGAAGTGTGCCACAAAAATGGTCACAGGGGTGGAACACCTCTCCCATAAAGAAAGGCTGAGAGAGTTGGGGTTGTTTAGCCGAGAGAACAAAAGGTTCTGGGGAGACCTTATTGCAGTTTTTCAGTACTTAAATGAGACTTATAAGAAAGATGTGGACAGAGTTTTTAATAGGGCCTTTAGCAACAGAACAAGGGATAATGGTTTTACACTGGAAGAGGGTAGATTCAGACTAGATATAAGGACAATTGTTTTATGATGATGAGGGTGGTGAACCACTGGAACAGGTTGCCCAGAGAGGTTGTAGGTGCCCCATCCCTTGAAACATTCAAGGTCAGATTGGACTGGGCTCTGAGTAACCTGGTCTACTTGAAGATGTCCCTGCTCATTTCAGGGGAGTTGGACTAGATGACCTTTAAAGGTCCCTTCCAACCCAAACCATTCTATGATTCTATGCCATGCTGGGTAAGGCTCTGAAAGAAGTAGTGTCGCAAAACGCTGGGAGACACGAGCAGAAAATTGCTTTTTGTCTCGTTTATTAAAGATTTTACAAAGGTTTATATGGTATTTTTGCGAACAGCATGCAATGCTCGCATTGGTCAGAATGAGGGTGGTAGGTTGTTTTCTCTACAAGGATTTGCTATAGATACAGAAACCTATTTTTCTACACATCTTTAGAAAACAAAAATCAGAAGGTTACACTTTCCCAGAGAACAGAACACTTTCCCAGAGAACAGAACACTTTCCCAGAGAACAGAACTCAAAACAAGATTTGTTATGTTTCATTCTAATTAAAGGTATCAGTGTCCAAATCATAACATCTTCCTGCTGGAGACAGTTCTTCCTTTAATTTACCAGGACAGCTGGGCTTTGTTTTCTTGCATTCCTTCGTTATCAACCTGTAGCAGCTGCAAGGTATCCGAGCAGTCATGTCCACGGTCAAGCAGCCACTGCTTTGTAAAGCTCTCCACAAAGTAGGTTCCCAGATGTTATGTAGAATAGCTCTGACCCCTACCAAATGAATGACAGGGAAGGTTAGCAAACAGATAAGGTTTGAAGATTTGGGAAAGTTTGGGCATTGGTGTATGATTCTGAAGAGATATTCTCTGATAGGTTTTACCTAAGGACCTGCAGTACTTCTGCAAACACTGGTGTTGGCCTCATTTCTAAGAGAAACCTTAAAGAAACACCAGGAAAAGGCTGGGAAGTGCTTGTGAAGTCCAAGGGTCTGCCTGAGTATGTGGTAAATTAAATAATCAGACAAATCCGGTCATAGAAGTGCAGAAAGCAATGTCACAGAGTAGACCCATGGACAGCAAAGAAAGTGGTTGAATAAACAAGATCTTGCTGGAAGAGTGACTAGGGAGGAGAAGTAAAAAAAGGTGAATATGCAAATGTAGCAAGACTATGCAGCAAAGTGGAGGACCTTGAGCTGTTAGGATCCAGTTATTAAAAGATGCCTCTGCCTGAACTAAAGTGCAAACAAGACTATATGCCAAAGTCAATAGTATGGTTTTATTTAACAGTAAATATGAGGTAGAGAGAGACAGAAGAAGGGTGGGGGAAGAAAGATAGTGAGAGAGAGAGAGAGATTAAGTAAATAGATAAAGATATCACCACCACATGGATTCCAATAGTGTCCTGCTGGGTCCTTCTTCTGGTCTTCTCAGTGGTGAAGGTCCTGAAGTCATGCTTCTAGGGTACCACTTTATACAGTCCAAACCCCGGGTATTCATGGGGGTAGATGCATTCCCACAACTTGAGCTGGCATGTGTATAAGGACTTGCTTCCTTTCTCATAGCTTGCCATGGTGGGAGTTTTGTTGGTGTGCTAATTTCAAAACCTTCACCTTTGTGTAGGTCTGTAATTAACACTTTCCTTTCTCACAGTTTTCCAAAGTGGGAAGGTTGTTTATATTTGCTTTACCAGGCCTGGTTCCTGTTGTTGCCAGTCTGTGCTTATCACAAGTTCCTGTCGTGGTGGCTTATCTTCTGAGAATTTCCTTCTTTGACAGTGTTTTGAGACAATTCATTGCATTCTCTAAGTCCTATCATGAGCTACTGATACAGGATATGAGTGAGTGCATTGGGACAGTAGATCTGTCCTTCAATCACAGTGATGAGCACTCTAAAACCAGTGACTGCTTTTCAGGAAAAGGCAGGGAGCAGCAGTGTGTGTTAATGACAGCACAACTCACAGTTTATTAAAAGATTATCACTTCCAGCATGCCATATACCACCACGATCCTTTTTCACTGCCAAAAGAATTCTGTAATGTTATTAGAGAGGTAGTTACTACTGCAGTTGTTTTGGATAATTTAACATCAGGAATCAGCTTGGAGAGCAATTGATAGTATAATTGGTAAGTCTGAGATATTCTTGTATTTCTAGGCAATAAAAATATCCTCCAGAGATTCACTAACATGGCAGGAAATGGTGCTATTTTAGACTTGGCTTTGGTAAGTCATGAAGACATAGAAGACCTGATCATTGGCAATAGTTTTGGATTCAGGGACAATAAGTTCAATTCATGCAAATTAAATGAAAAGGTAGTTTGAGGTAGATCTATAACAAAAATAAGTTTTATAAACTAAGACCTTAAGCAGTCAGGAGATTGAGAAGCCCAGGAACTCAAATACATCAGGGAGTGTTGAAGGAGAAAGTGTCAGAAGAAAGAACATTGCAAATGTAGTTTTCCAACAACCATTTCATTTATATGTTCATTAATGACTTTGACACAAAAAATCAAGAGTTGGTAAAGAAAATTTCATCATAACAGCAATGACAAAGTTTCTATAAGAAGTCCACGGGCAATCAAAAGAACTCAGGGCCCTCAGGCAATTGATTAAGGGATCAGGAGTACGAGTATTTTTTTTGTCTATCCTACCAGTTATGGGAAATTATGTGGGAAGAAACAGGAAGAGTCAGCTGATCAATACCTGGCTCTATGTCTGGTGTCACCAGCAGAATTTGGGTTTTTTTGATCACAGATTGATCTACATGATACCAGGCCTACTAGTGACAGAAATATTCTATAAGCAGCTGGGAGGAGTCTCACAATCACTACCCCTTGTTCTCATTGGGGACTTCAACCTACCAGATGTCTGATGGAAATACAATACAGCAGAGAGGAAACAGTCTTGGAGGATCCTGGAATGTGTGGAAGATAACTCTGTGACAGCTGGTAACTAGGGAAGGCGCCCCACTGGAACTGTTGTTTGCAAACAGAGAAGGACTGGTGGGTGATGTGATGGTCAGAGGCCGTCTTGGGCATAGTGATCATGAAATTATAGTTTTCAATTCTCTGAGAAGTAAGGAGGGGAGTCAGCAGGACTGCTACCTTGGACTTTTGGAGGGCAGACTTTGACTTTTTTAGGGGCCTGGTTGACAGAATCCTTTGGGAGGCAGTCCTGAAAGGCAATTGAGTCCAGGAAGGTCGGACATTCCTCAAGCAGGAAATCCTAAAGGCGCAGGAGCAGGCTGTCATGTGCCAAAAGATGAGCCTGCAGGGAAGAAGACTGGTGTGGCTGAACATAGAGCTTTGATAGGAACACAGGAGGGAGGGAAGAGAGTTTATGACCTTTGTGGAAGAAGGGACAGGCAACTCAGGAGAACTACAAAGATGTCATTAGGTTATGCAGGGAGAAAGCCCAAGAATAACCTAATTGAACCACTACAGTAACAGATAATCAAAAATTGTTTCTATAAATACATTCACAAAAAAGGAAGGCTAAGGAGAATCTCCATCCTTTATTGGATGAATGAGGAAACATAGTGACAAAGGATGAGGAAAAGGCTGAGATATTTAATGCCTTCTTTGCCTCAGTCTTTAAGAGTAAGACCAGTTGTTCTTGGGGTACCCAGTCCCCTGAGCTGGAGGACAGAGGCAGGAAGCAGAATGAAGCCGCTTTAATCTAAGGGGAAATGCTCAGTGACCTGCTGTGCCACTTAGACACACATACTATGGGGCCAGATGGGATCCATTCAAGAGTACTGAGGGAGCTGGCAGAAGTGCTCACCAAGCCCCTTTCAATCATTTACCAGCAGTCCTGGCTAACTGGGGAGGTCCCAGTTGACTGGAGGTTAGCAAATGTGATGACCATCTAAAAGAAGGGCCAGAAGAAGGATCTGGGGAACTACAGGCCTGTCAGTCTGACCTTGGTGCCAGGGAAGGTTATGAAGCAGATCATCTTGCGTACCATCATGTAGCACATACAGGACAACCAGGTGATCAGGGTCAGTCAGCACGGGCTTAGGAAGAGCAGTTCCTGCTTGACCAACCTGATCTCTTTTATGACAAGGTGACCCACTTTGTGGATGAGGGAAAGGCTGTGGATGTTTTTTACCTGGACTTTAGGTAAACAGACCTCTGACACTCTTTCCCACAGCATTCTTCTGGAGAAACTGGCTGCTCATGTCTTGAATGGTCATACTCTTTGCTGGGTAAAAAACTGGTTAGATGGCTGAGCCCAAAGAGTTGTGGTGAATGGAGGTAAATCCAACTGGTGGCCAGTTACAAGTGATGTTCCTCAGGGCTCAGCATTGGGGCCAGTCTTGTTTAATATCTATCAATGATCTGGACAAGGGAATTGAGTGCACCTTTAGTAAGTTTGCAGATGACACCAAGTTGAGTGGGAGTGTTGATCTACTTGAGGGTAGGAAGGTTCTATGGAGGAATCTGGACAGGCTGGATTGATGGGTCAAGGCCAGTTGTATGATATTCAACAAGGCAAACTGTTAGATCCTGCACTTGGGTCAGAACAACCCCAAGTAGAACTACAGGTTGGAAAACTGTCCTGCTGAAAAGGACCTGGGACTGTTTTTTGACAACTGGCTGAAAATGAGGCCAATGGCATCCGGGATTGTATTGGAAATAGTGTGACCAGCAGGACTATGGAAGTGATTGTCCCCCTGTACTTGGCACTGGTGAGGCTGCACCTCGAATACTGTGTTCAGTTTTTCATCCTCACTACAAGAGGTGGAACATGTCCAAAGAAGGGCAATGAAACTGGTGAAGGATCTGGAGAACAAGACTTATAAGGAGCAGCTAAGGAAGTTTGGGTTGTTTAGTCTGAAGAAAAGGAGATCTGGGGAAGACCTTATCACTCTCTACCTGAAATGAGGTTGTAGCGAGATGGGGGTCCATCTCTTCTCTCAAGTGGTGCCAGGGGAGGTTTAGACTGTATATTAGGAAAAATTTCCTCACTAAAAGGGTTATCAAGAGTTTAAACAGGCTGCCAAGGAAAATGGTTGAATTACCATCCCTGGAGATATTTAAAAGACGTGTAGACGTGGCACTTAGGGGAAGCAAAAACAGTTGTGACAGGCATATTATTGCAGATAAGTTAGAGGAGAAATAGAGGGGCAAGCAGGGAAGAGGTGAATTAAACACTGTAGCTGACACAGGTTCAGATAAACAATAAAACTATTAAGAGAAACTGGAACAGAGCAATTCACTGGAGTTCAGCAGCCTTTTCATTACAGTTATTACTATTATAATCAGTGTTATATTTTACTTTATTTCAATTATTAAACTGTACTTATCTCAACCCATGAGTTTTACTTTTTTTCCAATTCTCCTCCACATCCCACTGGGGAGGGAGGGGAGGGGGGGAGTGAGTGAGTGGTTGCACGGTACCTAGTTGCTGTCTGGAGTTAAACCATGACACAGTATTACACCCAGTTGTGCACAGCAGAGCCCCAGTGTACCAGGTACAGCAAGTGATGCAGCTAGTTCCTAATGTGTCAGTTAGGGAGATGTACCACATTAAACGGTGGAGAAGTGTCCCAGTTTAAATGAGACAAGGGTCTTTTGCTGAAGATGGATTAGGAGAAAAAGACCCAAACTTCTCTATCTAAGCAATTATAAATCTAAAATTAAAAGACTCCGATTGAAGGAAAAGAACAAATTAAGGAAAAAATAACAGCCCTTTATTAAAAGGTATGTGTGTATTAACAGAAATAGAAAAAAAACCCCAAAAAACCAAACAAGTAAAACAACCAAACAATACTCCTATACCCACAAATAATCCCCTTCAAAAACAAACCGATAAACAGGCAAAGGGAAAAGTAAAGAATTCAATTTTGCGCCCTTTGGTGCAATTCCAACCTCAGTCAATAGGGGGCGCCGTTGGGTCACCGGAGAAGCAGAGCTTGCAATGTCCTGTAGCAGTCAACAGGTGGCGCTGTTGGATCATTGGAGATGCAGAACTTGTAATGTCCTCTACCAGCCACCAGGTGGCGCAGTTGGATCACTGGAGATGCAGAACTTGTAATGTCCAGAGACCGCCACCCGGGTATGCCGGAGAAACCAATCCAACCAAAAAAAAAGAACCTTCTTTCCCTTCCCACACACTGGGAAAGGGAAGAGGGAGAGGCGAAAAGGGGTCAGACAATTTCACTTACTCCGGCTGGTCAAAAAACTGCTCTGCCCATTCCTTTCTCTCTCTCTCTCTCTCTCTCTCTCTCTCTCTCTCTCTCTCTCTCTCTCTCTCTCTCTCTCTCTCTCTCAGGGGGGGCTCCGTGCTCAGGGAAAATGGTGAAAGGGAAAAAATCCACGTGAGTCTCCTGACTGTCTCGGTTGAGAGCAGAGAGCCGAGGCAGCACCCAGCCTCCCTTCCCACACTCTTCCAGCCACAGCTAGCAATGGCTGAGGGCAGAGAGAGAGACAGCAGCAAGCTTCCCCTCCGATGAGTGCTGCCGGTCCCCAGCCCCCACCCCAGCCACCAAAAACTGCTCCTCCCCCATTGCCCAGGAGACGGGAGAAAAAAATAAAGTGCAGTTCCTTATCTGCCCCGTTTCCTAGGAGACTAAGTTCTGGGCCATTAGTGAGGGAGGGAGATCGTTTGTTCACCTAAGTACTTATCTGATAGCTCTTAATGGTTCCTATGGGGGAAGGGGAGGGGGGGGAAGGGAAAGAAAAAATTCCTTACTTTAAGCTGAACCATGACAAGAAGTAGGATAGAAGCAGCAGCAACAACAAACTAAGCATATTTTTTTCCCAGTTATCACAGACTTCATCACGTCCATTGGTTTCAGTTTTGTCATGAATCCTTATTCAGGATCCTGCCGACTATGTCAATTTCTCACCAACTGGTGATTTAGACTGCTTGAAGAACTATTGTCAAAGGTATCAGCAAAAGTGGTTTTATTTAAATATGATGTGCTAAAAGCACTACTTAACAAAGTTCAATGGCAAGGTTCACTCTATTACTTACTGCACAAGGAATATAACAATTATTCATAACTACCAAGACAGAATCAGGGTTTTAAGGCAATTCTACCATAAATACAACCCCATCATGTTATGTTTGCTGTAACTTCAAATTTTTCTACCTTCTGCTCTGAATGCAAGATATCTGCTTTTTCTAAACAACAAAATACTCTCTTCTTTGCTCTCTGCTATGAAATTGGTACAATCAAGACAGCAGGTGTTGATGTCTCTTAAAGGAATTATGCAGTTCTCCTGTCTAGCTCAATAGTCTGAAATTCACTGCCAACAGTAAACAGTGAGCTAGCTATTTGAAGAGAGTTTAATCACACCATGTGTTTCAGAGCTGCAGGCAGCTGGTAGCCTCTTCACTGCAGAGCTCCCAACTAACACCAGCCATGCCATACCAGAATACAGCCTCTCTCAGATCCCCCATCACTACCCAGCCTGAAAGCAAGAGCAGAAAAAAGAAAGATTTTTATATAGTTTTTTTAAAAATATTGGTTGTAGGACTAGCAATTTGGGAGCAATCATTTAGTGTGTAGACTCATGCAAGCATGAACATTTGACTAAATGTTTATAGAGTTCAAGCCTACTTATGCCAGGCTCTATTCAAGTGGATGTTTATACAAATATGCACTATATGATGATCTCCAGTGTAACTGAAGGCTGTGAATATTCAGCTAAGTAAGTTTGAACTGTTACTCTCCTTGATGCCTTAAGAATATTAAGGCATCATCCTAAATATATGACACACTGCATGCCTCAGTGACCTTAATGTCTCTTCACAGAACATCAGGACCCATAACAAAACTGATGTGGGCACTAATATTAACTCTGTTTATCTGGTATATTATGCCTTTAGCATAAGTGATGCTTTAAATTAAGAGAGCTATTTAAATTAATAGAGTTAAATTGCACTTCATAGACTTCTTTTTCTTTTTTTGTGTCTGATACACTATACAGCAGGGTCAAACAAATGGCTTTGTCTTAAACCTGTGTTCATTTGAGTAGAAATGATGAGGGAGCATTTTCATAAGTTCTTTCCAGGTGAAATAATTTTCTCTGTCTCTTTAAACTATGTTAGAAGAAAGACTAGCTCAGTTTAATTGATTGTATTTTGTAAAGTTCCATTTATAAACTGAAACTTCGTAGCTGGGCTTGTTAGGTTCCAAACATGTCCCCAGCTATCTAACTTTGTTCTTCTGGCTGGCAGAAAAAATATTATTTGAAAAGTACATGAAAATACCAAATAAATTCCTTTCTGAAGGTAAATGTGAAAGATTAAAAATACCCCACATTTAAATAAAATTGATACTGTTTTGACAGTGATGAATGAAATATTTATATTTGGTATTTGCAGCCATTAGGAATAAAATAGTCCTTAAAAATTAAGTGATACATCACTGAATCAGAATCAGAACATGATGCCCTTGTGAGATGAGAACTGCGACAATAGATGCCTTTGAAATCAGTGCAGAAAGATGATCAAAGATGAAGAGAGATTAATTGCATCCTGCTGCTACATAGTTGCAACCTGTCTAAATGAAATGGCTGCAGAGACAGCTCAGGCAGAGGACTGGAAGCTATGAATCACAGTTCTCCCCTGTTGCTACAGGTGCTTTACACGGCTTTAAGGCAAATCACTTAAATAGTTTCTTCCATCAGTAAAATATAGCTTACTGTTTCACTAAGATGATTCATGATTATACCATGCCATGAAGAGGTAATGTGGTCTGTGTTCAAAATAGTAAATTTTTTACCTGAAGTTACAACCATAAGGTTTTCTTTGCTAGCTGGCTAACTACACTGGATGCCTTGCTCTCCTATGTGTCAAAGCCCAGTAGCAGATATAAACAGAGAAGTCCTTCCTTCCTATAATCACATGAAGGTCAGATAAATGAGTCTTGGGGTTGAGACAGGGACATACTGATGGAACATAAAACCACTTTTGGAGACACTTTTACTGGAAGGGGATGATAGCTTTGGTCAACCCCAGAGCAGTCATTTACCTATCCTCCTCTGTGCTAAGGAATAGTGTGGCACTTCTGTTTGGTGTGTACTTTCTGAAGGGAAATGCAAAAATTGACATCAATTTGACCATCAGAAACCTCTCTGTAATTTCTACAGTCAACACTCTTGGTAAGCATTGTCTTAGAATGAGCCCTTCATTGCTCTGCATGCAATGCACTGACTGCTTGTTGCAGTAGCTCCTATATGAGAAGTTAAGGGCTATATCCTCAGAAAAGAGATGCAAACATTGTCTTTATACTCCCTAGGTCATTTATCAGTTCTGTGTCTGATCAGGCCTTCAGGGAAGCTTAAAACCACTCAAAGCCTGTTGGTGTTTGTGCCAGCTCTCAGCCATGCCAAAGGGACAGAGCAGCAGCCAGATCAGCAAAACATAATAAAATGCAACTATTTAGATGTTTAAAACATGGTCAAAGAGGGACTTGGGAAGACATATTTATACACCTTTTTTAGCTAGCCAGTTCTGACAATTAGATGTAGTACACTAATTTCCCCAAGTTGGGATGGGTCAGCAAAAACAACATACTCTGCTAAAAATACCATGTCTCGCACAACTTGCTCAAGTTGATAGTTGGATGACCTAGCTGTCTGATTCTTGCTTATCTGAAGTTTTTTCTGAAGCTGGGTGAAACAATCCTGATTCAGATGACCTGTCCTGAATAATCAATGCCAGTGCCCAGCACGTATCAACTTTAAACCATATTCCCTATATTCAGAGGAGGGGACTGACAGCACATGGATCCTTTTCATTTCCGCTACCCCTGTTTAGTAAAAATTACTTTTCTTTACAATGCAGGGAGGTATGGACATCAGCTGCACTAATACCAACTGCCTGGTCACACTTACACTCTTCAAATCTCCCTGGGTAGTGCAGCCCTCATCAGAATCAATGTGGCCACAGCACAGAGCATTCTTATACCTCCCTTTCTATACAACCTGCAGGCAAAGCCCCTATTGATGTACGTACTCTGAAATCAAGAAATGACACAGTCCTTGCTGACAAATACTCTCTGTCAGAGGTGAAAGGTAGTGATGATTTCAGTGTTGACTATAAGCAGGCTAATGTCCCCAAGCTAAATGACACAAGTGAGCTGAAATTGGGACTTGTAGTCAGCATTTCATTCTTTTTCCCTCCGTTTTCTGAAGACTCTCTTGATAACTTATCAGGATGTGAACAGACGGATTAATTTTATTTACTGTGTAATTTAAATTCTCGACTTGCAAGAGAAGGTATATTTCATCAGGAAATTGCTGCAGTCCTCAGCCTCTGAAACAATCTTGGCTGGCAGTGGGGGACAAAGAGTCAAATACATCTCAAAATGTCATCTCATAGACCTTGAAGATGGAAAAATACAATACTGTCCCACTGCATTAATTTCTCATTGTCTTTCCACTGCAGCAAATCCCA